ATTCATAAACTCATTTTCTGCAATACTGAAGCGTGGGGCAATATATGGCGGATAGGGTAAGTGGGCCGCCAATTAGGTTTATACGTAGGGATGTGGCCTGCAGGTAGTTAGTAGCGAATGTCTCCAATGGATGATGTTTTATGCGTTGTTTAATGAGTATACCGGTACCTCCGTGTGCTTTACCGTCCGGGTGGTTGGTCGCGTGGAATATATATCCGATGATATGGAAGTAGTTTTTATTAGTTAGATGGGTTTCAGAAAGTAGCATGATATCGATATTGTGGCTGTTTAGGAACTGTAGGGAAACGCCGGGAAAGCCGTTTGCGTTCCAGAAGCATATTCTTAAGGAGTCCATTTATACAGACTTTTGTTTGATCAGCAGTTCCATTAGAAGGCTCTGGTTTCGCAGTAGTTCTTGAAGGGAACTTTGAATCGTCATCATGACGTTTGCAAGAGTAGCTAGTGTAGATTCTAGACCGCTAAGTGTTTGTGGGGGAAGAGTTTGGTTTTGCTGCGTAGAAGGTTGACTTGTTGTTTGGCCATTTTGGCTTAAGAGCGGAAAATCATTTAGGTTTGATATGGGTGGCTGTGGACGCAATGCTGCAGGTTGGGCGGTAGATGTTTGTGAGATTCCAGGGTAGCGGAGTGCGTTGGCAAAGGAGACACCAGGAGTGGTTGTTGATGGGGTGAAGATGTTTGGTTGGGCAGAGTGTTGAGCCGCGATTGGATTACTGCGTCTCTGATTTAGGCGGCTCTTGAGTTCTTTGTAGACGGGACAGCCCCGGTAGTTGGCAGTATGATTTCCCCCACAATTACTGCATTTCCTCAGAGTAGGGTCTTCTTTGTTTCCCAGGTATGCTTCAATGCAATGCAAATCTCCACAGGCGACACAAACTGGACGCAGGGTGCAGTAGGTTCTTGTATGCCCGAACTCCTGGCAGTTGGTACACTGTACGGGGCCGTTCCGCTTATGCGGTTCCTCTACGGTGATTCTTCGGTGAAGGAGATATTGCAGATTGTAAATAGGATGCACTGCATTTTTCTTTAGAGGTTTCGTCTCTGGGGCCAGCTCAATCTTAAACAGTGGTTGGGGAATTTTATCCCTGTTCACTATGTTTACGATGTGCTTATTTCTGCTATAAGTACAACTTGTAGGCCTTTCTTACTTTTTAGTTGGTAAGTGTAGTAATTTATAAGCTCATTGTCGAGATATCTTGTTACAGAACGGAAGTTGTCTTCGTTGTTAACCTGGAGTTTTGTTTCTAATATGTTTCCTCTTTTTAGGGTATTGATATAGAAGTGGTTAGGCCCGATTACTTGTTTAAGCTTATTAATCAGATCGACACTGTTGTGTTTCCTAATATATATTGGCGGTGGCTTTACAGCTTTCATGACTTGAGGCGCCTGACCCTTGTCTTCTTCGGTCTCGCCAAGTATGGCAAATCTGTTTTCGGATGTTCGTGTGTTGCCTAAAGTTTTTGGAACTTTTGGCCAATTTGAGTTTACGTTTTTTTGTGGACTAAGCTTTCTTTTTATTTGTACATACCGATTGATCCCCGTCTGTACGAGAGTATTATTCGTAAGAGGGTCAGTAGAGCAAAGTTTTACTTGTGGTGTTGAGATAGGCCACTGGGTAGCCGCAGACGTTAAAGTTGTTGTTGTCGTTGACGTTGCTGTAGTAAGAGAGGGTACAGTGCTGGTGGGCGCACAAGCCGAAGTAGTCGGTGCATCGATGAGAGAGATAGGTGACGGGCATTGTGAACTCCACGACTGAGTAACGGCAGCGCTGCTTGAGCATAAAATCGCTGGTGACAGTGAGCGGGCTCTTTCGGTAGCGGTCAGTGACGTTAATTTTGTTGTTGCCTCCGATGAGTCAATTGAAATGTAAGCATTGTTCCGTGCAGAAGACAGCCGTCGTTCGTCTAGTTGTATTTGTTGCCGATCGCGACTTGGCTTCGTGGCTTTACCGGTTGCACTTGTTAATATTTTATTTGCGTTCGACATTTTTAATTGATTTGATTAGCTAGATCGGTTTTAAATTTAGTTTTAATCACAAGGAGATGTTGACCTTGGGGTATGGCATTGCTGCCAGCGTCTTTTCGCTATTTTTCTTAGTTTTGGTGGTCACTTTGTAGATTTTTGGAAGTCTTTCAGCAGAGGGAGCAAAAAGACACGTCTACGTGGTTCGGTGGTTCTGTTGGTACTTTGAGGCTACCCTAAAAATCCAAAAATACAGGGTGAGATAAATGCCAAGGTAGACGAGCTGCTGGAAAAAGGATGTATCGATCCGTCCAGGAGTCCCTACAGCTCACCAATAGTCATGGTGAGAAAGAAGACTGGAAAGTGGAGGCTGTGTGTGAATTTCCGGCAAATAAACGCGAGGTCCATAAAGGACGCATACCCGATGCCGATGATAAATTACATCCTGGACCAGCTGCGAGATGCGAAGTACATCAGCAGTCTCGATCTAAAGGACGGTTACTGGCAGATCCCCTTATAGGCAGACAGCAGGCAGTATACGGCGTTTACTGTACCAGGGAAGGGCCATTTGGCTTTCAACAACATTCCAGCGGGCATTGGATCAGGTCATTGGACCAGAAATGATGCCGCACGCTTTCGCGTATCAGGACGACATTATCGTCATCGGACGAACGCTCGAAGAGCACATGGAAAACCTGAAGGAAGTTTTTAGGAGACTACGGGCTGCCAACCTGAAAGAAAATGCGGAAAAATTCAAGTTTTTTAGAAAGGAACTGCAATACTTGGGGCATCGCATAACAGACCAAGGCATCGAACAGACCCAGAAAAAGTGTCGGCAATTGCCTTAATAAAAACACCGGCCAACGTTAAGGAGTTACGACAATATTTGGGAGTGGCGTCGTGGTACAGGCGTTTTGTGCCAGATTTTGCGACGTTGGTGCATCCGTTGAATAGCCTGCTCCGGAAAAGCACAAAATGGGAATGGACAGATGACCATCAACAGGCGTTTGAAGCTGTCAAGGCCAGGCTAATCGCAGACCCAATCTTAGCATGCCCAGATTTCACAAAGACGTTTGTGCTGCAGACCGACGCCAGCGATTACGGGCTCGGTGCTATTCTCACACAGAATTCCGACCAAGGCGAGAGGGTGATCTCGTATTCCAGTAGGTCCCTGAATGGTTCGGAAAGAAATTTCTCAGCGACTGAGAAGGAATGCCTGGCAATTGTGTGGGCCATACGCAAGTTAAGGCCATACTTGGAGGGCTACCACTTCAAAGTGCTCACGGATCATATGGCACTGAAGTGGTTGAATAGCATCGAGAGCCCAACCGGAAGAATCGCACGATGGGCGCTGGAACTGCAGCAATATGACTTTGAGATCGCGTACAGAAAGGGCCAGCTGAATATAGTAGCAGACGCACTATCACGACAGCCACTGCCAGAAACGTGTCGACGGGTAAAAACACAGGAACAGCACAAGGAAACCGGGGAGTGTAACTGGATAAGGGATATGCGGAGCAAGATTTCCAAAAATCCTCAAAAATATTCAGACTACCTGACAGAAGCCGACCACCTATATCGCCACATACCGCACAGAGCAGGCAACGAGGATGTCACATCTTGGAAGCTGTGCGTGCCAACCTTGTCCAGGCGGCTGGTAATGTCGGAGAACCACAACTCACCGACAGCTGGCCACATGGGCAGTCGAAAGACAATTGCCAAAATCGCAGCAAGATACCATTGGCCGGGAATGCACCGCGACATAAGGAAATATGTGCAAAACTGTGAGAGCTGCCTACGATATAAGCCAAGCCAAATACAGGCGGCCCGGAAAATGCTGACCCAAGTACCGGAAGAGCCGTGGGCCACTGTGTGCGCAGATTTCGTCGGACCACTGCCCCGCTCCAAACACGGGAATTCTATGGTACTAGCGCTGGTAGATAGGTTCTCCAAGTGGACCGAAATGGTGCCAATGCGCAGGGCAACGACGGAAACTCTAGAAAAGGCGATCCGCGAGCGGATCCTCGCAAGATACGGCGTACCCAAGGTGCTGATTACAGACAATGGCGTTCAGTTCACCAGCAGGGCGACGGAGAGAGCCAACAGGACGGTGAAAACGATGATCGCCCAGTTCACCGGGGCAGACCAGAGGACTTGGGACGAAAAGTGGCCGGAACTGCAGTGGGCCGTGAAAACGAGCGTGACTGAATCCACGGGATATTCGCCTGCCTTTATTACGCAAGGGAGAGAGCCTAGGTTACCCAGCGCACTGTACAACGAAGGAACAATCGTCACAGGAAGGCAAACGCAAGCTCCGGCCGAGAACGCACAGAAGCTGAAAGAAATCTTTGAGCTGGTGAGGCAAAATATGGAAAAGGCAGCGCAGGATCAGGCACGCCACTACAATCTGCGTAGACGCCCATGGAAACCGAACATCGGTGACACAGTCTGGGCTAAAGAACATCATCTGTCCAAGGCTGCAGAAGGATTCGCCGCAAAATTGGCACCAAAATATGGCGGGCCTTTTAAGATAATGAATTTTAATTCGCCGGTGATATGCAGTTTGCGGCATGAAAAGACTGGCAAAGAGAAAAACCGCCCACGTTAGCCAATTAAAACAACAATTCATTGGTGCCCAAAACCGAGGATCGAAATCGGACTTAGCGGGGGCGCACTGTGAATCCAAAGAGAGGGAGAGGACGATACACAGTATCGAACTCACTCAGATGCATTAGGAGCACGAGAGCGGGAGAGGGAGGGTCATAGGATGCGGATGCCGTTACCGGGTAACGCACACCAAAGAGAGGACCCGTCGGAGCCCGTAGCAAGGGAAAGTCCAAAGGCCGCCGCGGATAACGGAACCAGGAACATGGGAAACCGAGGTTTCGTCAGCGCCCGAGCGCCACAAGACGGGCCTATTTAAATCAGGTCGCCAAGATGTACGGAAGCAGCAGCAGCAACAGTAAGGCCGTGAGGGGAGAGGGGCGGGGAGGCAGCACCGGGCAACAGCCAGCGGCGAGATGGAGGCGGGACTCAGGTTCCGCACTCCAGCTGCTGGAGAGCGACACTCCCTGGTGTCGCGGTCCCCGTCGCCGAACCCCGAATCGGAGGACGAGGAGCGGATCACCGACGTAGAGCTGGAGGAGGAGGAGGAGGCCGGCGTCCGGTCGGCAGGGCAGGAGGACGAGGTGCCCACGATTGACCTGGCATCGTCGGAAGAAGAGGAGGAGGACATCGCGACGGAGATGGTGAGTCCGGAGGTCTCCTCAGACGAGGAGGACGAGCCACGTCGGGCGGCGAAGGCCCGGATGGCATTCCGGAGAATAAGGAGGGCCGCAGCTGGATTCGGGCGGATCCGTTTGGGCGACGCAGCGCCATCGGGCCGCCCGGAAGAGGTGAAGCGAATATTCGCGACCCGGGCGGAGGTGGTGCGGCGAGTATTCGCGCAGCGGGCGGTGGCACGGGCAGCCGCCGCTGCCAGAGAGTGGCAAAAGCGGCTGGATGAGGGTGAGGCTGAAGAGGCGGCGATCTGGGCACAGCCGGGCCCTCCGGAACAGCCGCCGCCGCAAGCACCGCCACCGCCGTCGCCACCACAGCCGTCGCCACCGCTGTCGCTGTCGCTGTCGCAGCCGCCACCACCGCCGTCGCCGCCGCGGGGAGCACCACCGCCATCACCATCGCCACCGCTAACGCCGTCGCCGCCCCGGGCAGCAACACCGCCACCGCCACCACCGTCGCCGCCCCGGGCAGCAACACCAACATCCCAGGAACCGCGGCACGGAGCGGGAACACCGCCGCCTCCACCGCCGCCGTGGGTGCTAACGCCATCGCCGTTGCCAGCAAAACGGTTCGGGGGGGAGCCGGAGTTCTGGGAGAAGGGGCCCAGGGTGTGGCCGTCATCGCCAGGCTGACATCATGCCCGGAACCGCGGTCCCCACCAGCAAGGCCGTCGGTGAGCCGACAACATTCGGCGGACAGCAGCCGCTGGGAGGAGATGGCCGAGGAAGGGTGGCCGCCCAGGGTGGAAGCCGAGGCCAACAGGCAGCGGATGAGAGCCCGTAGCAGCCGCTGGCCAAGCTCCTGGTAGTAGACGCCGTCCGCTACCGCATCCGGGTGGCAAACGGAGTGGTGAGAGTCCTGAGGGGACAATAAAAGCCTTTAAAGGTTTTGATACACAAATTGGTTTATTTATTTACATTTTGGAGTAATGGGTTGCCGGACATAGGCAATAGGGACGGGGGCGCCGAGTCAGACGGTCGATCGATAGTTGCGATCGATGGGTAGCACAATTGGTTATTGCTACGTTAAAAAGGCAACTTAAGACAACAAAACGGCAACGACGATGGCAACACTGGAACCCACAATCGATAAACGCGATCGTGGTGAGATTCCAGGGAGTTGCCGGACCGAGGGAAAACGGAATGGTGACTTTTAGTTTGGCGAAATGTCTGGGCGGGAAAATTCGAATTCCACGCAGGGGAACTGGGAACTGGGAACTGGGAACTGTCTGGAACTGGGAACTGTCTGGGGAACTGGGAACTGTCTGGGGAACTGGGAACTGTCTGGGGAACGGGGAATTGTCTGGGGAACAGGGACACAGTCTGGGGAAATAATCTTTCAAGGAGCTGCATGGAAAAGTCTTTTAGGGAAACAGTCGCGGGAAAGTTCAAGTCTTTCAAGGAGCTGTACGAGTAAAGTCTTTTAGGAAAACAGTCTGGGGAAAGGTTAAGTCTTTCGGGGAACTGTCTGGGGAACATCAAACATGCAACTCAGGCGGGGAATTCGAGTAGTCTACACATCAAGGGCGGGGAAAGTCACTACTTTCATTACGTTTCCGAAGGAAGGGGGAAATGTGAGGAGTCTTAAACTCCCCACAAATCCCGATGCAGGAGATCGGTCTAGCAACAGCGGAGGAGGCGAGAAAGCCGGAGAAATGAAGGGCAGCCAGGTCAAACGGGAACATTCGGACCTTGGACCCGGCAAGGGCAACGGGGTCATACGGTAAATTGGCGGACTTCGGACCCGCCTAAAGAGGACACACCGTGAATTAACGGTACCTCAGTGGACCTTGGACCCGAGGGAAATAACGGCACCTACAGCGCCTATAAAAGGACGGCGCAAGCGCAGTTCGAGTGCGCGAATCAGAGCGCGTGCGTGAACGCGGAATAAGTACAAATCGAAACCGAAGTGCCCAAGGATCAAGATCGCAAAGTCGAGACGCCGAAGGACGACAAGTCTACAAGGCTGAGGCTACAACGCTGAGATCCAACGGTGCTAGGTCGTGGTAAAATCAAACTTAGGGAGTCCTTGCGCGGTGTCAGGCGATAAAGGTGGCTAGGCGATAAGGGAGAACTTTGTTCTACCTGCTAGGCGATACACCTTGCCGACAAAGTCCACGCTGAACTCCGGAAGCCAGGCGATAAAGGTGGCTAGGCGATAAGGCGTAACTTCGGTTCACCTGCTAGGCGATACATCTTGCCGGCCCCGGTAGGGCAGCTCGCATAACATCCAGGGTTTTTGGTGGAACCGTCCCGATCTCAGTCACCCGGAGCAGCAGGCCAGGAGCGACGCAGTAGCAGGCCAGGAGCGACGCAGCAGCACACCAGGAGCAGGGCAGCGGGCTAGCAGATTAATAGCAATAAGGCTATATTTTAGAGAAACAATAAACCAGCACCAACCTAATCTGTTCTGGCGTTATCCTTTGGTCACGGGCGGTCACTCAATATAAATTTGGTGGAACGAACTCACAACCTATCTGAGCTAGTCGCACGTTTACGTATCGAGCAGAAATTAAAGAATCAGGTCGTTACAGCATGCCTTGTTGAATTCGTTACAAAATTTCCAACAGTGTCATTTACAGAAAAAAAATCATATAAAAAATTTTTTCAATAAAAAAAACATTGCCCCATCCCTTATGACAAAGCCAAAATCCCAAGAAAAACACCTCGATTTTTCGGTTTTTTAATCAAAACCCTGGGAAATAGTGGTCGAATGTTGGAATGGCATACCTTATTGAATTCGTTACCAAATGTCCAACAAAGTAGCATTTACAGAAAAAAAATCATTTGAAAAATATTTTCCAAAAATAACCATGACTTCCACCCTTATGACAAGGCTAAAATCCAAAGAAAATCACCTCGATTATTCATGTTTTTAATCAAAACCCTGGGAAATCGTGGTCGGATGTTGGAATGGCATACCTAGTTTAATTCGTTACAAAATTTCCAACAAAGTGTCATTTACAGAAAAAAAAAATGATTTGAAAAATTTTTTCGATAAGAAACCATGTCCCCCACCCCATTATGACAAGGCCCACACCGGATAATATCAGCTCGATTTTTTGGGATTTTAATCAAAATCAATCAATCATTTGAAAAATATTTTCCAAAAATAACCCGGACCCCCACCCTTATGACAAGGCTAAAATCCAAAGAAAATCACCTCTATTTTTCGGTTTTTTAATCAAAACCCTGGGAAATAGTTGTCGCGTGTTGGAATGGCACACCTCGTTAAATTCGTTACAAAATTTGGAATGGCATCAAAACCCTGGGAAATAGTGGTCGAATGTTGGAATGGCATACCTCGTTGAATTCAATACAAAATTTCCAACAAAGTGTCATTTACAGAAAACAAAAATCATTTGAAAAATGTTTTCGAAAAAAAACCATGACCCCCACCATTATGACAAGGCTCAAATCCGAAGAATTTTTCGGTTATTTAATCAAAACCCTGTGAAATAGAGTTCGAATGTTGGAATGGCATACCTCATTGAATTCGTTACAAAATTTCCAACAAAATGTCATTTACAGAAAAAAAAATTTGAAAAATTTTTTCCAAAAAAAACCATGACCCCACCCTTATGACAAGGCACAAATCCAAAGAAAATCACCTCGATTTTTCATGTTTTTAATCAAAACCTTGGGAAATAGTGGTCGGATGTTGGAATGGCATACCTAGTTGAATTCGTAACAAAATTTCCAACAAAGTGTCATTTACAGAAAAAAAAAATGATTTGAAAAATTTTTTCGATAAGAAACCATGTCCCCCACCCCATTATGACAAGGCCCAGAACCGGATAATATCAGCTCGATTTTTCGGGACTTTAATCAAAACCCTGGGAAATAGTTGTCGCGTGACCCATGACCCCCACCATTATGACAAGGCTCAAATCCGAAGAATTTTTCGGTTAAACGCACGTTTACGTATCGAGCACAAATTAAAGAATCAGGTCGTTACAGCAGGCCTTGTTGAATTCGTTACAAAATTTCCAACAGTTGTAACGCCCAAATCTGAGGGCGTACAAATTTAAGTTAATCGTGCCGAGGATCGGAGTCCATATATGTAGCATTTAGAATAGTATTAAAATTAGCCTTAAGATTTGGACATGGAGTCCACCCCAGTTATCAATATAAAGTAATAGCAACTAAGGAAAAACTAATTAAGCTGGTGTTTACAATTGAAGCCGAGACACGCACCACGGGCAGAACCCCCTTAACCCGCTATCGCACTCCTCAGGGGGAGGGGCAATCGATATCACGATCGATAACAACGAACTGGGTCAGGGAACACGACACGAGCTGAAGTACGATCGCTAGAAATCGGACTCGTCTCTTTGGTTTTCGACTTTTACCGCGAGTAGACGTGTGCACAAATAATCCTCCGACACGCGATTCAAAAGCCAAACGCCTAGCCTGAGATTCACCGTGCTCATCCGCGCCACACCAGTTGACATCGTCAAGGTTACACGTAAGCAAGAACACCCATTGTGAGGGCAGCAGCCAGGGAACCACTTTCACGAATTATCAAATATAAGCCTGAAATTAAATAACTAAAACCCCGCGTGTTATTTCTTTACCAATACACCTCCCCTCCTTTTAACCTCACCCGTTCTCGACCCCGACCTACGCCGTGTGTTTGGTTTCGCATCCACACGACGTACTTCGGCCGAGAGCTCCCTCCTTAGAATCCCCGTAGGCTCCGAGTATAGCCGGAGTATAGGCCCCCGTAGGCTCCGAGTATAGCCGGAGTGTAGACCCCCGTAGGCTCCGAGTATAGCCGGAGTGTAGACACCCGTAGGCTCCGAGTATAGCCGGAGTGTAGACCCCCGTAGGCTCCGAGTATAGCCGGAGTGTAGACCCCGTAGGCTCCGAGTATAGCCGGAGTGTAGACGCCCGTAGGCTCCGAGTATATCCGGAGAGTAGACACACGTAGACCCTAAGCTCACCCGGAACGGATCAACCCCGCCGTTCATGCCCAGCGGAGTCCCCCTCCCCGTAGCCCCCGCAGTCAACCCCAATCGGAATCATCCGAATTCACCACCAAGCAGTCCTCCACCACCAGAGGGCATTACTGACGGGTCTCACCCAAGTTCCCCACCAAGCAGTGCGATCACCCACCGAGTACCTCGTCCTATCCCCAGGGGATGCCTCAAGCAGGATCCTCCCGGGGTTTCGCACCAAGCAGTGTGGGCGGCCTTATTCCCACTGCAGGCCGCTAGGCGGCGCTCTAGTAAATGCCTTGGCGTCAACCTCGTGTTCAGATCGGTTTGACCAACGGCTCTTGCGTGTAGAGGGCGCCTTACAGCCTTCCCATACAAATTCCTACTACAGGTCCCACCCTTCTATATAAATTTCTTGTATAGGTTCCTTGGCCCCGATTGAGATTCTACCCCGGCCAGAGAACTGCGTTACAAGTGGCGCCCGAGCAGGGACCTGATAGGGAGAAAGACCAGGAAAACTACCACCTGTATGGGGAGTGCGTAGGCCCCGAGTGAGTGACGTAGTCTAACGGTTTCCGCGAAAGTGTCCCGACCGGGGAGAATAACCTTGACGAACTAGTGAACGCGCCCGGTATCAAGCCCACGAGCTTACTCGCGATCCCGCATAGTCCACGCGATCGAGTGTCTGTGAAAATACAAACGTATGGCCCAAGAAGCCCCGTAAAGACTCCAACAAGCGAAGACATCTTTCCAAGACAACGCACCAAAGACTCGCTGCAAACATGGACCCCGACCAGAAAATTTCCGGTGAGTCCGTTCCACACTTATTTCACAATCCCGGGGT